GGAAAGCAGCATATTGATTGGTTGTCGCTCGAACTTCCGCCGCGCGGTAAGTATACCGCGTCCTGTGTGCAGGAGCCATAAGATGACAACACTGATTAGGCAGCTTTGGGTTGTCTTGAATCACATAATAGTAGTAGATGGTGATGTCTGTAACTTATTTCTGCTCTAGGAAAATGACTCAAAGAAGTATTATCGGAAACATCCATTAGGTACTCAGGGCTGCGTTTGGGAACGTCACCTAAGTTACTCGTTACGTTGGAGTGAGCAAGATACAAGAGTGAGATAAAAAGAGAGGAAGAGTACTCGAGTGACGTTTCCGAACGCAGCTCTGGAGAACTCGTCTCGAAAAACAAATCCTCTGATTGGCCCATCGACTGCGTTCCGACGTCCGACAGCGACATACGACGTATTGTAGAACAGGTCTAAACGATTGTACTGAACGTACGCCTTGAGCTGGATAGTGCTGCCCTCTCTATTTCCATCACTTGGTCCCATCTAAAAAGACTGTTTCCGTTCCAATGCAATTGTGAGTTGCGCTGCATGACCAAGCACGCAGTTCGGTTTTCGATGATGTCTCGAAGTGATTATTTCTGAGTTCACATTGCCAGATTTCTGCAGAACATAATACTTCGTACAAGCGGTAAGTAACATTCTCCTAATTACAGCGATGCTCAGACTTTGCTACTGGTGAAAGAAAGCGGATAAACGTTGAAAAGAAGGTAGTCATTCGGCGATGTGTCATGGCGCCGATGCCCTTCGCGATTAGACTCTCGGCTTACACCAACGACCATCTTGTTATCGATAAATCAATAGAGTGCGCGGCTTTTTACCTACGTTGTGCGTCAATATGATGTAACGAAACGGTCTCCTCGTTACAACCAGGCAACCTCATTACAACGAAATTCACCGAGTACCAGGGTGAATTGATCTCGAGAACCGGTTTCACCAATACACGGTCGGTCGTTCCTGATGGCGTGATGGCGCACAGAATGCTGCAATATTTGGTGATTCGACACAGTGCCACCAGACATTGCGTGGGCGCGATAATGAACGCATGAACGAAGCCGTGTAACTTCAGTGTTCGACGTACGAATTAACTGGACACATTATATTACGGATAATGGAACAGTGATCCACAGTAGACACGTGTCCTTAGGCGTTAAACGTTTGTGCATTCAAAAGACTTTTTTTATGCATGAGGGAACGATTAAAGACGCCTATGTAAAACATTACCCGTGGATGCCCTCATAGCGCCAGCAGGTGAACGAATAATTCGAACGTGTTGCATTTTCGTAGTCTTACAGATTAGGTTGGTCTCTTTGGTGAACGAAAATGGAATCTATGGATGCGCGTCTTGTGGCGCAAGCGTTGAACTACCATGGCCAGCAGTTGCAGAAAGTATGGGAAGGAGAGCGCAATGAAAATGAACTGGTTATGCTCAATCTCAAGGATCCAAGTTTTGAAATCTACCAACAACGACAAAAAACTTTGAGGTACTTTATTGACTATTTATAACTATAACTTGCTGATATTGAAGCAGTTTTGCTTAAGTAAAATTTTATATATTTTTTTAGTTTTGGAGATAGAGGCAAACGTCTAAAACTTCAACAATTCCTTGCTAAAAAAGCTGATGCCTTGTATGATAAATCAAATTTGGAGAAAACTACAGAATGCATTAAGCAACAGCTAGGAGATGAAGGTAATGGTTTGTGTAAATATCCTTTTTATCTACACATAAATAACATCATGTAATGTGTTTTCAGAATTTTATGCTACAGTACCAGGACTTGATACTTTTGTCACTATGGAGAAGTCTCAGCGTATTCGTAACTTTTTGGAGGTATAGAATATTAAAAAATTTAGTAAATTAATAAAAAGATTAGGAGAAATGTTGAATGAGATAAATTAAAATTCTTTATTCTTTCTAAAAAGATCTTAAATTAAGATTTTAATTTGATGTCACATTTGTTTGATTTGCAGAGTTTAGTAATTGGAGATGTAATTTACGCGCAAGTAATGGGTAAAAGTGCTGCTGGTCTGCTTCTGAAGGTGCTTTGCAACTGTAGTGACTGTCCTCGAGTTGTTACTGAATTGGGAGTTAAGGTATATTGATATGATATTATTTATTTTAATAGTATTCTATTAATTATATGACCCTAGTTCTTTTAATATTCTAATATTAATATACTAATGTTTTATGGTGTGTTAAAAAATTGAATTGATAAACTTTGCTGAGATATAAAAAAAGATGAAGAAAGAGTACAAATATCAAAATATTTAATATGTTACATGTTTTTATATGTTAATATCACATTTTGTGATGATTTCTTGTTTTCATGTCATGTCACATGTTATATTTTGATTTAGCATTTACTAGCAAAGATCTGTGAAAAATTAAGTTATACCTTCATGTTTTTTTTATTTACTCAGAATAAAAATATCAATGACGTGTTGCAATATTCTTCAGTTATTTTTGCAGTTATAAAATCTCTAATTCATATTATGTCAAAATAAGCTACGAACTGGGAACTTTGTAATGCTGCAGAAAATGATTATACACTGTGTCTAACATAACTCGTACATCCGCTTGTATGCAGATAGAATTTGTCAAACTAAATACAAAAGTTCTTTGTTATTTTGCGAATAACGACAAAATTTTAAGTAATTAAGTAAAAGAAGATTGGCGAATGATCACGTGCGATGTTGTACAATATATATAACAATATGTACAATATCTCGTGTACTGATACATTAGCTTAAAGTGAACAAAAAAGTCTTTTTGTAAATTATAAATCCACATGATTATTTGAAAAATAGTGGAGCTTTTTTTTCTCAGTTTGACTTAATGTATAAGTGCCCAACAAGATATCGTACTGTCATATCCTGTACCATGTTGCGCGCAATTATTTATCAATCTTATTTAATCAATTCAAAATTTAAAAAAATTTTACGTGATTGTTTAGTAGATAACCTTTGTATTCAGTTTAACAAGTCCTAACTGTTCACGAGCGGATATGTGAATTGTGAACTGTGTACGAATTTTGTCTCTCTATGTGACTATATATAATCGCACGTAATTATGTATGTTCATACTGAAAAAATGCTATTGCATAAATAAAATTAAAGCAAATGTTCACTGTGGCAACTTGTGGCAACTTGTAATATCGATGTTTAAGGCTCCTGTAGCCCTATTCTGTAACTCGTTATTGGAGTTAACGACAGTTCCGTTATCGTCGTTGCGCAGTTTTTGTATATCGTAGAAAAGCTGCGCAACGATGACGAAACTGTCGTTAACTCCAATAATGAGTTACAGAATCCCAGCACTGGCCTCTCGCATTGTCTCTCTTTAATGACTACTTTCCGTGTACTCTCCGTTTGCTCTAACAATTAATAATTTGTCGTAAATTAATATGACATACATCTTCTTGACCTATTTCTTCGCCTATTTCTATTCACGTTAATTTACGATAAATTATTGATTGTTAGAGCAAAAGGGGACTGCACGGAATATCTTAAAAATTTGTTTAATCGATTGTGTTACTTTATGGATATATAATTTTATCTTAACGTATTTTGCAAGAATTTTTAATATACATTTTCTCGCTTTTGACGTCATTAAAAAGAGATAGACAATACGAGAAGCCAGAAGTCTTAATTGAAATAAACCATTTACTTTTTTTATTTAATATAATTTATTTAACAGTTTTTTCCTCTTGTAAATATATATAATTTTACAAAGTGATTCTAATAATTAGGCTGGATTTTTTTAAAGTCAAAATAGAAGAAAAGTGATACAGAAAAATTTTTTACTGTTTAGTATAATCTACGATTCTGGAATTATATTTTTTTGAACAATGAAGTTGTACTTTCTTGAATGAAATAATTCATTTTTTCAGCGTAAATCGTTTCCTCTGATTATTCTGTATATAAAAATACTGGGATAAAATAAAAAAATGGGTAAAAGTGAAGAAAACTGACGCCACCTCCGATGCGCTTGACTTTGACATATGTTATAGAGGTCACCCTTCTGAGTGATCTCCTGAAAGTTTTAGCCGTCGCTCATTGTTTATTAAAAAGTTATTAACAAAAGAAGTATAAAATGAGTAATTTTTGGAGCCCGTATATACAAAAACATCGAATTTGTTTGAAGACTAGGAAGGTGTCAGCCATACGCACGCACACACACTGTTTGGTCGTTCGCGTGGGTGCGTATGTTCCTATTATATATACATACGCACTCACCGCGAACCCGGCCTGTCGGGCAGGCGAACGCGCGGACGGCCAAGCAGTGTGTGTGTAGCAGGTATCTTTTTAAGTTAAAAATTCGATGTTTTTGTACGGTGTCCAAAAATTACACTCATTTTATGCATCTTCTTTTGCTAATAACTGTTTAATAAACAATGAGCGGCTAAAACCTTTTGATTGTTACTCAGGATCATTTCTTTAACAACATATGTCAAGATCAAATTGATCGGAGGTGGCCTGTTTTCTTCACCTTTACCGTATTTCTTTTTGGATGATTTTATTCCATTATTTTTATATATATAATAACACAGGAATCGTTTCATGCTAAAAATGTGTGATACTATATAAAAAGTACAATTACATTCTGCAAGTGCATCAGTGCAAATATATCTATCACTTTTTCTTGATTTGAAACTTATTGATACAAGTATTTCTAAAAAAGTAAGATCTACTTTGCAAAAACTTTAAAGTACTTTAGGCATTCCTATGTATTTATAGCGGGTTGTACCTTTAGAAATACTTTTACCCATAAAAGAAAGTTTAGAATAAAGGTCTTGAAAAAGAGCTACAATTTAACATACTAGGATTATCTTGTATGTAATTGTTACTTAGCCATATGAAAACAAAAATTCATATATATGAATTATATATAATTAATGTGACATATATACAGGATGTCCCACACTCTCCTTCTTACATTAAGTGGAAATATAGAACGGGTTGAGGTTAACATAAAAGTCTTATATCGTTTTGCA